TGTGTGTGTGATCATGTGCTGGGAGAAGTCAGCAATTCCAAGTACAAAATAAAAGCATGGGACTTGGTATTTTCAAAAAGTATCCTGTCCAGTGACATGAGTTTCTAACAAGATTTTTTCTGCTGCTAGGATTTTCCAAGGTAATGGTGTTACAACTTTGACATTGAAAGCAAATCCCTAAAAATAAAATACTAAATAAATAATTCATTTTTTTTTCTTTTGGGTGAGGCAATTGGGGTTAAGTGATTATTATAGTTTTAAAAGAACTTTCAGTAGATCCCTATCACCTCTAGGGGGAAAAAATTCTAAACTCCTTAGCTTGACCCTTAAAGCCCTTCACAATTTGGCTCTAGCTTAGTTTTCCAGGCCTATTTAACATCATTCCCCTTTATGAATTCTATGCCTGAGCCATACTGGGCTCCCCTGAGCTCAGCATTCTCCCCTACCTCCATGCCTTTGCATAACTCTCTGTTACTGCCTGGGATGCCTTCACTGCATTCCTTTATTTGTTCCTTTAAGGCTCAGCTCTTGTGGGCTCTTCTATGTGATATCTTTCCTGAACCCTCTCAGCTTCCTCTCTCCCTGCTCATGTTATTATTATACATATACTTAGCTATTTACATTCTGAGTTCCTCCCAGCAGGATGCAGGCTCTTTGGAGGGCTGGAGTCTCCCCATTTTAGCATTTGTTTTATTACCTCCAGCACCCAGGACGGTGTATGCTCAGGTTGGTGTTTGATAAAGGCTTGTTGGATTGGATCAACAAGGAAAGATGGGTTTTCTGATGCTGATTCTTTTACAGTTTATTGAAGATTGGTAAGGCTGGCCCTTACACGTGGGTTGGTGGCCAGAGGATAAGTCTGGGGATGTCTGGCTCCAGCCATCTGGTGCCCCCTAATCAGCCACTGAGTCTTCCAGAGGACTCTTCTGGTCAGGTCATAGGGAGAAAGAAATGACTGCACCTTGGCCTCGCCTTGAGATCAGTTTCTCACCAAGTTTTGTTTGTCATTGATTCAGTCAGTCAATAAACATTTATTAAATGCCTCCTGTGTATCAGGCACTGGGCCATGTGCTGGGAATATAAAGAAAGGTGAAAAGGGGCAACTAAATGATGCAGTGGATAGAGTTCTGGTCTTGGAATTAGGAAGACCTGAGTTCAAATCCGGCCTCAGACACTTGACACTTTCTAGCTGTGTGACCTGAGGCAAATCACTTAACCTTGATTGCCTCACCAAAAAGGAAAAAAAAAGAAAGGTAAAAGAAAGTCCTTGTCCTCAAGGAGCCCCAAGTCTAATGGGGCTTGTTAAATGTTTCTGATTTCCTATCTCAGTCTCATGCTCTAACTAAGGATCTATTCATTTATTGTATTTTATTTTATTTTTTTGTCTGGATCAAGGAGTTTATTAGTTTAGGAAACCCATGTTGGAAACCCCTCCCCTCCTCCCCATCAAGATCTGCAGTTCATCTGTAACTTCCTTTCCTGGGATCAAGTGACTTGCCCAGGGTCACACAGCCAGTTTGTATCAGAGACAGGATTCAAACCCAGATCTTCCTACTCTCAGTCCTAACTCTTCATCTTCTCCTCTATGTAGCCTCTCTTGATCATTTTTTAAAAACTGTTTCTTTTCCCTTTCAGTTCTCCTGCTCTGGAGATTGGCAGTAATTAGTCTGGGGCTTGAAAAATGCCCCTGACATTTTGTGTGTTCGCTTATCTAATCTTGGCTCCTGAGAATGTGGTCTGTTTTTCTCTCAGCTCAGAACACACGTCTGTGGGTTGTTATGGAAGAACACGTTGGGCATGCACACTCATGAGTGTCCCTTGAACACCTGCTTGGGCCCCTCAGGCTCTATTGGAAGCTTGGTTGTTTTTGATTTGTTCAGAAGTTGTCATGTGTGCATGCGTGAGTGTGTGTTGGGTGAGAGGAGTGTTGGGACTGTCATTCTCTTGGAAACAGATGGTGGGAGATAGCTGTTCTTTCCATCCTGAGCCTGCTTGGTGAGTCTTTTAACCTATATCTCCTGGCCCTCAGGTGCCTAGCCAACCTTCCAGCTGAGGTTTTGAAAGACTCTAGACATCTCTGAACTCTTACCTCAAGCTAGGCTGAACTGGGTCTTGAGGATCACTTATTTCCACATGGGCAGATCATTGGCTTCACAACAGGCAGATTCAGTGACTGTGCACATTGGCTCACCGTCTACAATGTAAACTCCTTGAGGGCAGGAACTAGTGGGTTTTGGGGTTTTTGGGTTTTTTTTTTTTTTGGTCTTTTCATTTCCAGTGTCTATTGAATATTGAATGACTGGGCAAGTATTAAAGTGCCTATTATGTGCCAGTCACTGTGAAAGGCACTGGATGTACAAAGACAAAAGTGACAGTCCTTGCCCTCAAAGAGCTTACACTCTACTAGAGGTGAAAAGAGTACAATACGTATACAAATAAATATAGTACAAGGAAAATTGAGGTGGAAAAGATTGCACTTACTGTTGGGTGTGAAGGGTACAGAAATCTGGGAAAGATTCCGAGAGGCAGCACCATTTCAGAGGCAGATTGAAGCTTCTGTAAGGATAGACTTCCTAACAATAAGAGCTATTAAAAAGTAGGTAATGAGTTCCCCATCACTGCAGGTGTTTAAGCAGAGATCATATGATCTTTTTTTGGGGGGGGAGGGGAATATTGTAGAGTGAATTTTTTTTCGCATTCAAGTTGAACTGGATTGCCTCAGAGATTTTTTCCATCTCTAAGATTCCATGGTATGCTGTGTGTAAAGGAGAGTGAGAATTTTTAGGGTGTTATGTCAGAAATGAACATCAAAGGGAGATTGATGATGAGAGGGTGACTTAATCTCTGGGTGATACATAGGTTAAGTATAGTTGGTGATTATGTGGGTGGGTGTATGCAGAACAACTGGGGCCAGGCTAGGGTCATGGTGGCTTCCCGATTGAGCTGGAGGTGTGGCCTAGATGTTAAGGATGGAATGGGAT